TGTTAAAAACAGTGATTCCTAAAATTTAATGCAATCAGAGCCCCCTGCAGGGCCCGTTTAAAGTTTCCTGGGCCCTTTCCTCAGAGATTGTAATTCAGTAGGTTGGAGTGGGGCTCGTGAATTTGCATTTTTGATGAGCTTAGGGCTGATGTCATGCTGCTGGTCTGAGGACCTTTCTTTGAAATCATTATAGAAAGAGACAGCAGTGGGAGGAAGGAGGGGTCCATGAACTGTTGGAGTCCCTAGGAGATCCATTCATACATGGAAAAGCCCTTTTGGGGAGGGATGGGAGGTGGGTGATTTCATAAAAATCCCCAGCCTTTACTCTTCTCTGCCACCTAAAGATTGTTTTGGGCTTGCACACTCTATTTCTTGCTCTCCCCTACACAAAGAGGGGACCCAATCCTTAGGCTTTAGAGGGACAGAAAATGGACCCTGGGGAATGGAGAGAGCTGGATAGGTGAGAGGAAAGGGAGAGGGAGGAAGGACAGGAGGCTCAGGGCCTAGTAATGCAGGAGGAATTTTCTAGGCAGCTCTGGGGAGAGATATGGGTGAAGCTGTGAGGATGAGGGAAGTGGTGAGAGAAGAAAGAGAACTTCTTTGAGGAGTTTGGCCCTTGGGGTGCTGGGGATGATCTGAGGCAACCCAAAGGTCTTTGAGAAACGCAAGAACTTAAGTTGTTTTGAAATTACTTTTTCATTGCTGGATGGCATGTCTTAGGGCGTGACACTGCTCTGACTCTGGTCTTTAGCTTCAAGAGGATTACAATGCCATGATAGTTCTGATGCATCGTGTGCGTGTGTGGGAGACAAGGGGCCCAGGAGGCACCCACTCAGTCCCTTCTCTCTGTTAAGGTAAGGTGCCCTCTGTTTCTCACTGGCCCAGCTGTTGCAAAGGTTTCCTACTGATCTCTTTGCCTCGAGGACTCTTCCCTGCTTCCTTCTGCCACAGAGCCCCTGGCCTCCTGAGAAGCCAGACTCCTTCCTGTTAGAACAGGCTTCAAGACTCTTTTAATGGAGGGATCGTTGTAGGTTCTTACTGCCTATTGATTTTAGACAATATACCTTTCAAGGCATTCAAGGCTTCATTCATTTTCCCACCTCCACACCTTTGTGCATGGTGTTTCTGACACCTGGAATGCCCTCATTTCCATTTCTGCCTAATAAGATCAACCTAGCTTGAATGCTTTCTCTTTTCTGAAACTTCTGTGATCATCCCTACTCCTCCCTCCCTCCATGGAACTTTATTTGTACTTGCCTATACTACAAATTCTGCTTATACTGTAGTTGTTTGTCTCCTTCGACCTGGGTTGTCTAATATGGTAGCCATGAGCCACATGTGGCTATTTAAATTAAAATGAATTAAAAGGAAGTAAAATTAACAATTCACTTCCTCAGTTTCACCAGCCACATTTCAAGTGCTCAATACAGTTAGTGGTCACTGTATTGCATAGCACTGATACAGAACATTTTCACCATTGTAGAAGGTGCTACTGGGCAGTGCTGGGACCATATGTTATTCACCTCTTCTTATGTTTATTGAATAAAAACTAGTCATATTGAATGAATTAGAATTTTACTGATTGTTTTGTCTTGATTTTTGACCCAGAACAGGAGTTTATATTTTCAGCTTTTTAAAAAGCTGTTCCTTGCTTTTTTTAAAAAAAAATATTTTTTATTTGAGAATATTAAGTGGTACAAACATTTTGGTTACATAAATTTCTTTAATATTGTTTGAGTCAAAGTTATAAGTGTGTCCATCACTCAGATAGTGTGCAGTGTATCTGTTAGGTGTGAATTTATCCATCCCCACCTCTCCCTCCCACCTGCTGGATTTCTGATGAATATTTCCATATGTGCACATAAGTGTTGATCGATTAGTTCCAATTTAATGGTGAGTACCTGTGATGTTTTTCTATTCCTGTGATACTACGCTTAGAAGAATGGCCTCCAGTTTCATCTTAATACAAGAGGTATTAGTTCATCATTTTTTTTTAATGCCTGATCGGTACTCCATGGTATACATAGATCACATTTTATTAATCCTTGTTCTCATTTCGATGGGCTATGCTCTATTGAGGTGAAGCCCCATCTCTTCTTTTGGTTGATTTTCTTTACTCCAGAGCCTTTCTGAGAGTTGTTTGGTCCACCACCTTCCTTCCTGGGTGTGTCCCAGGTCACTTCCCACAGCCTAACCCCTGAGTAGTGTTCCTTACTGATGAAGCCTGCCTTGGAGGAAAGAGCAGAGGCCTGCAAACCTCTGCTACATTGCTACTTAAGAGAGGCTGCCTGTCCTTCTAGACAGACCCTCATGTCTGCAGGGGGCAAAAGACACAGACACAAGGACACCCATGGCAATTAGCAATGGCATTTTGAGGTATCCTTTCTCATTAACTTCTAAAATCAATTGTCTAAGAGGCTTCTGGGAAGAAAAACCACAAGGCCATAGTGACCACAAGAGGGCAGCAGTGTATCTTAAACAGTCTTTTCCTTCAAAATTCTCGGGAAGGCTTCCCAGCTTTGCAAGGGAAGGACAGAATGAATACACATTGGAAAGGAAGAGAAAAAAAAAATCATCATATTGTGATATCTAACTGTAAGGCCTGATTACCATATATTTATGCGTACAAGACCTCCTTAAATATAGGAATCACAAGAACATTAGACAATAATAGGTAGACAAGGGATTAGATTGAAAATACTTCAAATAAGGTTGTGAATAGGTCAGTAGACTTTAAAACAGAATAAACCTCACTTCGAAGCAAGGTAGCTATGGAAACATTACCAAAATTATTCTGTTACTTCATGGCTGCAGTGGTTTTTGCAGCCTGGAAATGCTGTCAAGGGAGGGCAGAATATTATTTTCTTATAAATAATACAACACAGGATCCTATATGGAAAGTTGCAAGAAATTAGATTTCAGAGGTAGAGATGTTTCAACAAAAATACCCAACAGCTTTAATTTGGTTTTTGATAACTTGGCTCTGGGTTTGCAGTTAAGTTTGTCTCTATCTCTGTTTTCTGTTGCAGAAAGGGAGCCAGTGAGGGATTTATTTTCATGTCTCTGGATGTATTATATGTACACACATGCATGCATACTGAGCATGGCTGAAAGAAGTCACCTGTTTACCCCAGGTATGACCCACATGAGGGCTAGTGACCAAGATTTAGATAAGGAGCCGGGCGCAGTGGCTCACGCCTGTAATCTTAGCACTCTGGAAGGCAGAGGTGGGCGGATTGCTCGAGGTCAGGAGTTCGAAACTAGCCTGAGCAAGAGCGAGACCCTGTCTCTACTATAAATAGAAAGAAATTAATTGGCCAACTAATATATATAGAAAAAAATTAGCCGGGCATGGTGGTGCATGCCTGTAGTCCCAGCTACTCTGTAGGCTGAGACAGCAGGATTGCTTGAGCCCAGGAGTTTGAGGTTGCTGTGAGCTAGGCTGACGCCATGGCACTCACTCTAGCCTGTGCAACAAAGCAAGACTCTGTCTCAAAAAAGGGGGGGGGCTTGCTTTCTTGTGGGGAACAGGCCTGTAGCTATGCTGCTTAAGGCCACAGGGTTCTGCCATTGACTCTCAGAGGTCCTAGATGAACTGCTTTTGACCTTGACCTCGAGCTTCCCAGCAAACCCAAATGAGAACATAAAGACCATACATGTGATTGCTCCCAGACCATGCTGATCATGTAGGTGGAGGGGTGAGTAAACAAAGTAGATTGATGTAAGAGGGGTAGGTGTTTGGTAAGCAGGGTAAATGTGGTATAAGCCCTGAAGTTAGGATAAATGTTATGCTGGTGGGTGCTAGGGGTTCAAGGTGAAGTTTTGATGCTATTATGAAGTAATTCATGCAGGGGTTCAAAATGCTCTTGTTAGGGACTAATAAGTACTCTTTTACCCCACAGATTGGTTTGTGGTGTTTTTGTTTTGTTTTGTTTTGAGAAAAGCTCTCACTTTATTGCCTAGGCTAGAGTACAGTTGTCTGATCATAGCCCACTGTAGCCTTGAACACCTGGGCTCAAGGGATCCTCCTGCCTTAGCCTCCTGAATAGCTGGGACTATAGGCACATGCCACCACACCTGATTTTCTTTTCTTTCTTTTTTTTTTGGAGACAAGGTCTTGCCATGTTGCCAAGGCTGCCTATAGAGTTTTAAGGGAGCTGTATATTCAAGGGACTATAATAAATTGGGAATCAAAGACCCAACACATTGATGTGATATACTATGGTAAGAGGCTGAGTTGGTGATAAGCCTAAGGTCTCAAGACTAGGAAGTGGGTTCCCCTAGCACCCTGATCCTAAATACTGGGATATCACCTCTACCAGTATGGCTACACGGAGAAAGAAAATCAGAGAGGTGGGAGCGGGTAGCAGTATACAGAGCAGGCCAGGGCTTTAACTGCATGTGTGGAGAAAGAAGAATGGGAAAGAGTAGAGTAGCCCTGCCTATTATGTAAAAATAAAGAATGGGGCCCATTCAATATCCTGATGGTGAGGATCAGGTAGGAATTTTGCACAAATGTGTCCTAAGGAAAGAGATCTATGTTCCTCCTTGTCTGGAGAAGTGGATCAAACACTTTAGTGAGCATCAGGATCACCTGGAGAGCTTATTGAAATACATGTTGCTGGTCTCCACCCCAGAGTTTCTGGGTCAGTAGATCTGGAGTGGGGCCAGAGAACTTGCTAACAGATTCCCCAGGATGCGCATGCCTGTGGTTCAGGAACCACAGTTTGAGAGCTATAGTTCTAGAGCATGATAAGTGGTTTAAGTGAAGTATCAACAATGTAGGTGTGATGTGGATTTAAAGTCTGTTTCTGAAACTGAAACCCAACAAAGGATCCATTAATTTTTAAAGTTGAGATATAATTCATGTACCATTTTCATATCTTCTTTGGAGAAATGTCTATTCATATCCATTGCCCATTTTAAAAATTGGGTTATTAATCTTTTTACTGTTGAGTTGTGAGAGTTTTTTATGTATTCTAGATGTAAGTCCCTTATCAGAGATATGATTTGAAAATATTTTTCCCATTATGGGTGGGTTGTCTTCTGGCATTCTTGATGGTGTCCTTTGAAGAACAAAGGTTTTAAAATTTTGATGAAGTCAAGTTTATCTATTTTTTTCACTTATCACTTATGACTTTGGTGTCACATCTAAGACATCATTGCCTAATCCAACATCACAGATTTACTTCTTTGCTTTCCTCTAAGAGTTTTATAGTTTTAGTTCTTACATTTATGTCTATGATCAATTTGGAGTTAATTTTTGTGTATGGTGCAAGGAAAAGGTCCAACTTTATTGTTTGGCATGTGAACATCAAGTTGTCACTCATTTTACCTTTTAAAAATGGAGATATAAAAAAAACTAGAACAACTACATTTTGGTGGGAAATTTTTGAATATTAGTATGATTTGAACAGTATTTATTTCTGTGGCTTTGCTTATACCCAATCAAATATACCCATTCATCCAATAAATACAGAGCATCTATTTTGTGGCAGGTGTGTCTAAGCTGATGGTGATACAGCACCATCAAGGACTTGCTAAATAAAGCAAGTCCTTGCCCTCATGTAGCTTACATGCCAGTGACAAAAATGGGCATAAGTAAATAAATGTGTAAATATGTAATACACAGCAGTAGTCATAAGTATTATGAAGAAAAAGCAGAGTAAAAGGGTAGAGGTGATATGGGGCTGGGCAGAGGATGCTATTTGATATTGGATGGGAAAATCAGGAAAGGCCTCTAAAGTGGCTGCATTTATTTGGTACCTGAATTAAATAAGGGGACAAGCCATGTAAATATCAGGAGGAAGAATGTTTCAGGCAGAGGGAAGAACAGATGCCAACATCATAGGGCAGGAATGTGGTAGGGTTCTTCTGGGAAGAGTAAGCAAGGCAGTGAGGCTAGAGTGTGGTCCATGAGGGGGTGATGGGTAGAAAATGATGTTGAAGAGGTACTCAGAGACCACACCCATGGGAAAACCAAGAGTTTTCTGATTTTTCTGTCTGGCAAAGCATTTTGGCTTACAATATTTGCACTGGCCTTGAACAAAAGTCAATAGCATTCTTTCTCCTTGAAATTAGTATCTGCCTCAAAACTTTTAGTAGGAAAAAAGAATACAAATAAATATATGAACATAATCGCATAGATTTTGGGGAAAAAGAAAACCACCAAAATAATTCAACAGGAAAAAGTAAAGACTTTTCAGAGTCCTTCTGTTTGCGTATGTGATTTCTATTAATTAAACCTCCTTCTTTTTCTTTAAGGTTCGTGGCCAGGTCTTCTGGCTGCCCCCCAAAATCTGCTCTCCCCGGCAACTTAGTACTAGGGAGCAGCTGCCCAGCCAGAGACCACACTTCCCCTATTCTCTTGCAGTAGCTGGGGCCACATGACCAGTTCTCACCAATTGGAATGTGAGCGGAAGTGATTCCTACCGTTTCGGAGCGCTGGTCTACTCTTCCCTTTCTGCTAGCTGGATGCAGAGGGTGACGAGGCTGTATGAGGTGGTTTAGCTACAAATTAGAAGCAGCCTGGATCCCTGAATCAGTATGTGAAGAAGAGCTTCCCAATGACCCAGAAATGCTTGCCTTGGACTATTATGTGAGCAAATTTATATTTCTTTTGTGTTTGAACTATTACATCTGTGGATATGTATATTACAGCAATTAGCCTACTTTAATACAAGCTCAACTTAGATTGAAAGAGAAGAAATAAACTACTTGGAAAGCTAGACTGAAGGGAACTGGTATTGAGCATATGCTAGATTGGGCCTGGAGAGGTTTGGGGTTGAATGGCTTCCCCTCTTGGGTCAGATGCATTGATATTGCATAGAGAGCCTTCTCTTTTTACTACACCCTTGGCAGTGGCGGGGAAGGGGTGGGTGTGGGTAGTAGTGGGAATGTGGCGGTGGTAAGGGGGCAGGGGATGAGTCTTTGGATATGTCTTCAGGGGCACCTGCACAAGTGGCAGAGATGGCATCTGACCCAGGGAGGATTTGTCAGCTCAGTGGGCCCTGGGTATGGCTACCATCTCTGTTCTATCAATGACCAGAGGACGGCAGGCCCATGCCTAGACCATAAACAGGAACTTACTGGCTCAATGGCATGCTGACTTTTTTTAAACTAAAAGAATAAAGACTTTTATTGAGCACTGTAAGTAGCCTTTATGAATCTTCTAATTTATCTCGTCAAAATCCATCTACAATCAATCAAACTTAATAGTAGTTCATTCTTGCAGAATCCATGAGTTAGGTAGGGCAAAAGGGTCATCACCTTACATTAAGACCTAAAGGTATCTACTTAGCTCTTATGGGCAGGGAATGAGGAACTATACCTCATGTATGATCACTGGCAATCACCAACTTGTAGTGGAAAGAGAGGTCGTTTGTAAGGGGTAGGGAGAATTTGGGACTGATGGCACCCGCCATACAGGTCATGTGGTCACTATTGAATTTGGGCCCAAACTTTGCTGGGAAAAATAGGCAAAAGCATATTAGCTCTGGGAAAATCAAATAAATCAGAGGTGAGGTGAATTTAGGTGAATTTGGGTATTTTCAGTAAATGGCGCTGGCCAAATAATTTTGTTAAATTTTTGGTAATTTAAAGAGGAGATATCTGCCTATAACCTCACTTGTGATTTTATTTTTCTATTCTTTTTATTTCTCCCTATAGTATTTTAAAGACAAAAATCGAAAAAAAAATTTCACTTTTCTCTCAGAGACTTATTAAAGATACTTATCAATAAGACACTTATTGGCTGGGCGCTGTGGCTCACGCCTGTAATCCTAGCTCTTGGGAGGCCGAGGCGGGCGGATTGCTCAAGGTCAGGAGTTCAAAACCAGCCTGAGCAAGAGTGAGACCCCGTCTCTACTATAAATAGAAATAAATTAATTGGCCAACTGATATATATATAAAAAAAATTAGCCGGGCATGGTGGCGCATGCCTGTAGTCCCAGCTACTCGGGAGGCTGAGGCAGAAGGATCACTCAAGCCCAGGAGTTTGAGGTTGCTGTGAGCTAGGCTGACGCCACGGCACTCACTCTAGCCTGGACAACAAAGTGAGACTCTGTCTCAAAAAAAAAAAAAAAAAAAAATAAGACACTTATTAAAATCCAAGCCAAGATAGGTTGAAAGAGCAAACTGCCACCAGAAGCAGTTGGGATGGTGAGGGTGGTCATTAGAAGGGAGAGGGGGCTGAGGGGAATAGAGCAGGGGTAGAATCTGGGAGAGGGCTGGTCGGTGCACCGCTTCTCCCCCAACCCCTGCTCGGGGGGTTTTTCAAAATAGGCTGTCTGTGTGTGAGTACCTGTGTGTGAGTGTGTGTGTTTGTGTGTGTGTGTGTGTGTTCTACACCATGGATATTACATAGCTGGGCTATAATCACTTTCTCTTCTTGGCTATTGGTAATGGTGTGGAGTAGAAGGTCAGTCTCTCTCGTGTAGCAGAGCAGAGTGATTAGACAGCAAGACTGTTAATTAGAATGCTGAGACTGTAACAGGGCACCTTCTCACCGATCAGCTGTGCGAAGGCAGCTAAAATTGTAAAAAGCTGAAGAGAAACCATGTGGAATACTTGTTGGTGCCAGAATCTCTAAAGCCCTGAAGAAAAAGAGCCAAGTATCAACCCCACACAGGATTTTAACTCTAAGGAAAGATGCAGGGTGAATTCCAATTTAAGTGCTGAGCAAGTGCCAAGATTAGATTAAGCAGTGAATAAGCAGTTAAAGGTAGTAACGAGGTATATGTATTTCTTTAAATCTTGCTCTAAATGCTGTAATCAATTTTTATCTATAATAATTTGAGATGAATTGTTATGCTTTGTTAACTTAATAAAGTATTCTATTTTTATAGAAAAAGGCACAGAGGCATGGAAAGCATGTTAACTTCCCTTTCTCCTGCGAGCAGCCTTTTGTTTCAGTCTGTGGTCGTGGATCTGCCCCAGGAGCAGCAGCTCAAGTGGTAGTCATGATTACAAGGGCGGAGGAATCCATATGTGCACATTCCGAAACCCAAACCTACAAAAGGACAAGCAAGTTTCTTAGAAGAGTGAGAGACCACGAGAGGGCCCAAAAAGGCGCCAGGAGCCCATGGAGCCAGGAACCTTGCCCCGCATGCCTGATAGACAGATGGGGCTCTAGAGTAAGCGAGGTGACTTTAGGCAAGGACGTCAGTTGAAAAGTTGGGGGGCCCTTGAGCATGCTGGCCTCTTTTTCCACTTGCCTCTCATTCACACTGTAGGGCCCATCCCTGCCATATTCTTAATCCCTCCTGCCACTTTCCGGCTCTTGCCAACGTCATGCATTCTAACCTACCAAGGACTCCCTGTTCGGAGAGTATTTCCCCCTAAGCATCAGAAAAAGGTAAAGGGATTTCCGGAAAAGATGCCTTAGACACTGTGGATTTATGCTACAGAATGGAGGCAAAGCCCTTCTCAATTAAAAAGCAAGACGTTTGGAGGACAGGCAGGGAGGACGAAAGTGTGAAGTGAAGGCGTTGGTGACAATGGGATTAGTTTGTACCACTGCCCACCATTTCCACACTGTGTGACCTCAGGCATGTTCCCTAAACTCTCCCCAAATCAATTTTTGTCATTCTCATCATAGAGTTAAAAATACTTACCTCTTGGTGCTGTGAGGAGTAAATTTAATAATTCATACAAATCTCTTGGTACAAAGCTTGAAACACAATAAGAATTAAATGATAGTCGGTGTTCCTAGCTACTATTGTTGTGCCTACATTACTGTTCCAGACATTGAAATTCCTGCAATCTGCCTCTACCCTGCTTACTTACCTGTTTCCTCCCTTCTTTCATCCCTCCCTTCCTGCCATTTATGTTCATCATGAGCAGGTGCCAGGCTCCATCTAGGCCCTCCCCCATTTTCTTCTCCTAATTCTCACCACGGCTTAGGGATGAAATGCCCCTTCTTATGCTTCCATCTCAGCCCTCAAGACTGAGCTTGAGTCCCATTTCCCCCCATGAAGCTCTTTTTTTTTTTTTTTTTTGAGACAGAGTCTCACTTTGTTGTCCAGGCTAGAGTGAGTGCCGTGGCGTCAGCCTAGCTCACAGCAACCTCAAACTCCTGGGCTCGAGCGATCCTTCTGCCTCAGCCTCCCGAGTAGCTGGGACTACAGGCATGAGCCACCATGCCCGGCTAATTTTTTATATATATATCAGTTAGCCAATTAATTTCTTTCTATTTATAGTAGAGACAGGGTCTCGCTCTTGCTCAGGCTGGTTTTGAACTCCTGACCTTGAGCAATCCGCCCGCCTCGGCCTCCCAAGAGCTAGGATTACAGGCGTGAGCCACCGCGCCTGGCCTCCCATGAAGCTCTTTATAGCAACTTCTGCTCACGTTGAGCTCTTCCTTTCCTTGAATTACTGTTTGTGTCATAGACTTTAGTGCTGAATTATATGAGATGAACTGCCTGTGATGATGAAGATGTTCCATAGCTGTGTTGTCCAGGACAATAGCCACTAGCTACATGTGGCTAGTGAGTACTTGAAATGTGGCTAGTGTGAATGAAGAAGTGAATTTTAAATTTTATTTACTTTTAATCAATGAAACTTTAAATTTGAATGAATACCTCGGCCCAACATGTCAACTACCTATTCTGACAAAAGCTCTTGGGAGAGATAACACTCCCGTGTTTCTGCTGGCCTCCTGGTGCCACACCTACTCTCTCTTCCCACGGTATCCTCTCTGCTCAGGGAGAAATCAAGGGGTGGTCTTGGGGGAAGAGGAAATAGAGGTGCAGTGCTCACTCGGAAGGGGCTGGTCACGAGCTGGACTGTCAGTAATCCTGCAGAAACGGATGTCCTTTTCGGCAGGATTTGCAGGGGCCCTGCCCTGGTGAGCTGGCAGGCCTTGTGATGCACATGTGAGAAGTGTTTTGTAGGGACTCCTGAGTCACTGTGGCTGACCCATGCACCTGATCTTTGTACGGAGGGATCCCTCGGAGTCAGTGCTGTGGCATCCCACCTGGCCTGGGCCGGACCACCGCTTGACCCTTCCTTCCTAATTTGAGTCTTCTTGGAGAGTCTTCACCATGTGACTCAGCTCTGGCTCCTGATTTCAGATTCTTCAGACCTGCCTTGGATTCCTCCCACTCTATCTTGAGTCTATCCTGTGTTTCCCAGTGGTTCATGAAACATTTGGAGATCATAGACTCCTTTGAGAAGCTATGAACGTTATGGACAGTCTCCTTAGAAAAATGTACATGGTCACATTCATACACAATTTTGCATACAGTTTCAGCAGGGTCACAGATCAACTGAAGCACAGGCTTAGGTCTGAGACCCTTGGTTAAGAACATTTTCTTCAATCTGACCTTAGAAGTTTCATATGCTATTCTGTCTCAGCACCAGCTCAGCTCTAACTTATTCTGTGCTCACCAGCTAACATTTTGACAACTGGTTTGGGGCTCCAGTTACCTTAATAACAGGAACACTCACTCCTCTAAATAGCTATGAGGAGTATTTCAGTCACTATAAATATCTGTCCCCATTAGGCAGGTTAATAGATTGGCATTCTGGCTTATAAATCTTTTCACCCTTGCAAAAACAGTTTTTCGGGCTTCTTTATATCTAGGTGCAATTATAAAATTTATAAAACAGCAGTTCTGAGCTCTAGACTCTAGACTGAGAGTCCTCCCAACCCGACAGCCTCACTACCTCTAGTTAATTAGGGTTATCCAGCCCTGGATCTGTCATGTAGCACCATTTATATCCTCCGTTAAACTTTGAGTTCATACTTCTCTAACTCACCTGGACTTTCTTCTGATCTGAGCTGATCCTTCATCTCATAGACCACAAAGTAAGAGTTGGAGGATATACTGAGACCATTTGTTGCCGAGGCTCAGGGAGGGAAATGGCTGGTCGAGACTCACAGCTGATGGGTGACAAGGCAGGGCTAGAACCCAGCTGACTTTTATTCCAGTTCAGTTTTTCAATTTCTCTATGCTCTATGGGTGATTTGTCCTCTCGTTTTGGATAAGATGACTTAGAAAGTTGAGCCTGTATTGTGTGTGTAGGGAGACCTCATTTCATGCCTTGGATATATTCTTGCAAATTTGATAATAAAGTGAATTTCAGTAAATTATATCTTATCATGTTTCTCAAAGATTAGAAATGTATTCCTTCTGTTAAAGCTTTCAGCCTTGAGTATACACTTGGATAAAATAGAAAAACCACATGCTTGGAGTGAAAAGAATTTTCTGATGAAATATTAAAATAATGTTCTGAATAAACCAACAAATATTAAAGTGTGAGACAAAAATCTTTTTGTTAGAGGAAGATATAGCCTGTCTATTTCTTTAGCTTTAATATATATTTTTCTCTATATGCAGGTAAATATTCCTTTTGAAAAGCTCTAGCTTTTATTTCTTCTTTCTGAAGAGTTTATCTTGCATAATCACTATTAATTGTTTATTTAACAGCCTAGATTAGCTTGCTGCAATATTTGCTTAGTATCTTGTGTAAATTCTTCATCATTAAAAGTCAGCTTTCCTATAGCATTATTAAGATTTATTATTTCTGTAAGTATGACTTTCCTCTGTCATGGGGTTTCCATAAGTGGAATAGATAAATAAAGAAGCAGCTATTTTTGGTTTTTTACTAGCCATAGGATACTCTCTTTTATAATTTAATAAAAATACCTAAAATGTTATATGAGATAACATTAAGTTTGGAATTCTTTACCAAAAAAGTCTGACATCAGTTTTCTTTCCTCAGTTACTTGCCATGATATTCTTTCCTCTGGCCAAGACAATCATAGTAATTCTCCTAGCCTAATCCCAAGGCCAGTACATTTTGTACTGTGCACGATTTCAGGAGGAACGAAGAGCTGCAGAGACAGTCCTTAAACTTCATATTAATTAATCATGTCAGCTGTTCCCCTACTAAACTTTTAACTGGAGCAGCTAAGAGGGCGCAAACTGATGGGTTTGAATTTCATCTCTTTTTGTTTTCCTTGCTCACTCTCTGGAAAAGGGCTAATGAGCAGTGAAATGGCCAGGCCTGAGACTCCAGAGGAGGGAGAGAGAGGACCTGCCTGTGGAGCTTGCTGGCTGTGTAATCAGCTCCTGAATTATCACAAGGTGTCCCACGGTTTTATGATGGTGCTGGAAATATTCAGGCTCCAATGTTGAAGGGAGTAAGGAGAAGAAAAGATGGTCTTCCCATTGGCATGATGTCTCCTTTGTCCACTGGATTAGAGATGTACTTTCAAGGAAGGCTCTTTAGAGAAAAAAATAATAGAAGACAAATGTTGGTTTGCAAAATGTAATAAACCTGTTAGTGTTTACAGTACAGATGCTGACACTGTTTAACCTAATAGCAAGCTGTTGCCTAAGCATCTTTTGGAGGGTAATTAAAAGGCTCCTAGATGCACTGAAGTCAATTATATTAAAATTTTATTTGTAGGGAGTGCTCAAGATGTCAGGTAAAAAAATAAGAATTGATGACCCAACCAAAGATATTTTCCTACCACGGGCAACAGGGATGCTACCAGGAGGAGATCCCAATTAAAGATCAGGGCTTGGTTACAAAGGCAGAGACCTCAAATCAGCTTTCCTCTGATCCAACCGAGCACTACCTTAATGAGGGAAAGAAAAAGTTCACTATTGCAATATCATTAAGTAGAAATTAGAAGAAAGGACTGATTATTCCTATGGGAAAAAAGACCAAAGAAATGTGTGGGCCTGCTTGAAGAAGTTTCAGTTAGTGGCAAGGCTCTGAGAAGATGCTTTTTTCTGGAGAGCTGCATTCTTCAGATATAATGAATGGGTTATGTTTGCTGTTTATTTGTTTGTTGTTTTCCAGAAAACCTACCAGATCCAGCTGGAGTTCCCAGAAGAATTCCAGAAGAAATATTTCAGGAGATCCATATACTTATTCTGAGACTGCTGGTGACTGATAGGCTGTGTAACCTCAGAGAAGTTGCTGTGCTGCTCTGAGCATCAGCTTCCTATGATCTGTAAAGAGAAAGAAACACTTCCAGCTCAATAAAGGGCTGATCCTGCTGTAACTGTACTTTGTATTGAGAAAATGCCTCTTCTTTTATCTCCCAAGTAATTTGGAAAAAGGTGTCAGTACTTAAAACCCCTATGGGATTCACAGGTATTACTGCAGTTGGAATTACAGAGAGTCAGTGAAGTTATGTGGTGGGAGCAATGTGACCTTGTCACTTTTCAGACGAGGATGGAGAACTCCTGACCTCAGAGCTCAAGCCATTCAGCCAGAATTGTATGGAAAATGAAAAAGTCTGATGGAATTTGGGGTTTGGTGTTTTCCTTAGTCATGTGGGTCTTTCCATTTCTTAACAATCCTCTCCACCTTTTTGTTCTTTGACCAGAGTTTATCAACAGTAGCTGTAGCCAAAAGTACCAGAATGGGAGTGATGTCATCTTTTTTTTTTTTTAAATTGTCTTTAAAAAAAGACTTTATATTTTAGAGCAGTTTTATTTTCACAACAAAATTGAGAAGAAGGTACAGAGACATCCCATATGCCTCGTGCCTCCACACATGCATAGCCTTCTGTGTTATCCACATCCCACGACGGAGTGGTGCATTTGTCACGATTGATGAACCTCGACACATCGTTATCACCTAAAGTCCATAGTTCACATTAGGGTTCACTCTTGGGGTTGTATATCATATGTACAACAAATTCATGATGACATGTGTCCACTGTAACAATATTACACAGAGTAATTTTACTGCCCTGGAAATTCTCCATGCTCTGCCTGTTCACCCTGCTCTCACCCCTGCCCTTGGCAACTACTGATCTTTTTTTACTGTATCCATACTTTTGCCTTTTCCAGAATGTCATGTATTTGGAGTCATGCAATATGTAGCCTTTTCAGACTGGCTTCTTTCACTCAGTAATATGCATTTAAAGTTTCCTCCATGTCTTTTTGTGACTTGATCGATCATTTGTTTTGAAGCACAGAATAATATTCCTTGCTGGATGTACCGCAGTTTGTTTATCTGTTCACCTATTGAAAGCCATCTTGGTTGAAGGACAGAGTTTTCTGATGTCGCGTTTTTATGTTGTCTTTCGCAGGACTGGTGGTGTGGGGCATGTGAGGTGAGAACCTGCTTATATGGTGAGAACTTACGTGGTCACAAACTTCCTTCCTAGGAGGATCTCTTGATACCCATTCTCCATATTCCCAGCCAGCCCTGTCTCTGACATCTTCTGTACCCAGAAGAGATACACTGGGCTGAGAAATTTGGGACTTTTACAGCCATGTTTCTTTGCCTGGTGACTCCCACCCATGTTTCTCAGACCCATCAGTGGTGAGTACCACAAGGCAGTGTTCTCTGCTCCAGCTCTCTGTCCTTGTTCATTGGGTCTAAAGATCCCCTCATAGTCCTCACAGCTTGCCCTGGAGTTCCTGGGGGTATCTTAGGAATAATTAGCACATTGGCATTTGATACTTTCACCACCTTCTGCTCTCCAGCTCTGACTACTAGGATGCTGACTATTGTCACTCCTGTTTAGGTCTTGGTGTAAGTGCCTGGGCCTAGAATTGAGGACAATTGAGTGTGTCACCTCTGATCGTGGCCCATTCATTTTTTTTCCCTGACCTTATTTTATTGTAGTAAGAACACTTAACATGAGATCTACCCTCTTAACAAATTTTTAAGCATATGATACATTATTCTTGACTACATGTATAGTGTTGTACAGCAGATCTCTAGAACTTGTTCATCTTGCTTAATTGATACTTTATACCCATTGATTAGTAACTCCCCACTTCCTTTCCCCCCAAACCCGGGCAACCACTCTTTGATTCTATGAATTGACTTATTCAGATACCTTATGTAAGAGAAATCATGCAGTATTTTCCTTTCTGTGACTGGCTTATTTCACTTAACATAGTGTCCTTGAGGTCCATCCATGTTGTTGCATATGGCAGAATTTCCTTCTTTTTAAAGGCTGAATATCATTCCATGGTATACACCATTCATATCTTTTCTGTATTCATACATCTGTGAATAAATATTTAGGTTATTTCCATATCTTGGCTATTGTGAATACTGCTGCAATTAGGATCTCTGGGATCCTAATTTCAATTTTTTTGGATAAATACTCAGAAGTGGGATTGCTGGATCATATGCTAGTCTATATTTATTTTTCTACTAAACCTTCATACTGTTTTTCATAATGGGTGAACTATTTTGCATTCCATCAATAGTGTGCAAGTTTTCTCCCACAAAAATAGTAAGTAGTTAACCCCATGCAGCTGGGAGGAAATATTGGTTGTTTATTATAGATTGGACTCAAAAGGTGTTTAACTCTTGACATTAATATTTGTGAAGAGCATTTCTCCACATCCTCACCAACAGTTGTCTTTTTTGTTTTGATAATAATCTTCCTGACAGGTATGAGGTGGTATCTCATTGTTCTTTTGATTTGCATTTCCCTAATGACTAGTGATGTTGAACGTGTTTCATATACTTGGTGACTATTTGTATGTTTTCTTTGGAGACATGTCTATTTAAGTCCTTAGGTCATTTTTTAATTGGGTCATTAATATTTTTGCTGTTGAGTCATATAAATTCCTTATATATTTTGGAGGTTAACTCATTATCGGATATATGGTTCGTAAATTTTTTCCCATTCTGTAGGTTATCTCTTCACTCTGTTGATAGTTTCCTTTGATGTGCAGAAGCTTTTTAGTTTGATATAAACTTGTTTATGTTATTTTTGTTGCCTGTGCTTTTGGTGTTATGTACATAACATTATTGTCAAGACCAATATCATAAGATTTTTCTCTTTTATTTTTTCTAGGAGTTTTACAGTTTTAGGTCTTATGTTTAAATCTTGAAACAATCTTGAGTTGATTTTGTATATGGTGTCAGATAAAGGTCCAATTTCATTCTTGTGCATGTGGATATTCAGTTTTCCCATCACCATTTGTTAAAGAGACAATCCTTTCTCTGTTGTGTACTTTTGGTACCCTTGTTGAGGAAGGGTAGATATATGCATGGATTTATTTCTGAGCACTCTATTTCAGTGCACTGGTCTACAGTAGTTTCCCCTCATCTTCAGTTTTGCTTTCCATGGTTTCAGTTGCCCACAGCCAACAGTGGAACAAAAATATTAAATGAAAAATTTCAGAAGTAAACAATTTATAAATTTTAAATAGTATGGTGTAGTATGATGAGAACTTGTGCTGTCCTGCTCTGTCCCATCCAGGATATGAATCATCTCTTTGTTCAGTGTATCTATGCTATATATGCTACTCACCTGTTAGTCAGCAGTTTTCTCAGTTATCAGGTAGAAAAAACATAGTGAATATAAGGTTTGGTATTATCTGCAATTTTAGGCATCCACCAGAGGTCTTGGAATGGATCCCCCATGGATAAGGGTAGACTACTGTATATGTCTGTCTTTATGCCAGTATCATGATGTTTTGATTACTGTAGCTTTGTAATATATTTTTATTTTTTCCATTTTTTAAAAATTTCAACATATTATAGGGGTGCAAATGTTTAGGTTATATATATTGCCTTTGCCCTACCCAAGTCAGCTTCAAGTGTGTCCATCCCCTGCACCCATTAGGTGTGAACATTCCCATCCCCTGCTCCCCATACCCACCTGCCTGACACACAGTGAATGTTACTACTATATGTGCACATAAGTGTTGGTTGATTAATACCAATTTGATGGTGAGTACATGTGGTGCTTGTTTTTCCATTCTTGTGATACTTCATTTAGAATGGGCTCCAGCACTATCCAAGGTAATACAAGAGGTGCTAGATCACCATTGTTTTTTGTGGCTGAGTAGAACTCCATGGTATACATATATCACATTTTATTAATCCACTCATGTATTGATGGGCACTTGGGTTGTTTCCACATCTTTGCAATTATGAATTGTGCTGCTATAAACATTCTAGGGCAGATTTTTTTTTATAGAATGTCTTTTGTTCTTTTGGGTAGATGCCCAGTAATGCGATTGCTAGATCAAATGGTAGATTGACTTGTATTGCTTTAAGGTATCTACATATGGCGTTCCACAGAGGCTGAACTAGTTTGCAGTCCCACCAGCAGTGTAGGAGTATTCCTATCTCTCCACATCCAGCCAACATTTATTGTTTTGGGACTTGTTAATAAGGGCCATTCTCACTAGAGATCAGTGATATTTCATTGTGGTTTTGATTTGCATTTCCCTGATGATTAGAGATGTTGAACATTTTTTCATGTTTGTTGTCCATTAGTCTGTCTTCTTTTGAAAAATTTCTATTCATCTCCTTTGGCCACTTTTTAATGGGTATAATATATCTTTAACCAGGAAGTGTGATACCTACACCTTTGTTCTTCTTTCTCAAGATTGATTTGGCCATTTGTGATCTTTTGTGGTTACTATGATTTCTGAATTATTTTTTTCTATTTCTGTAAAAAATGCCATGGTGATTTTGATAGTGATTGCACTGAATCTGTAGATTGCTTTGGGTAGCATGAACATTTAACCATATTAAGTCTTCTGATCCGTGAACACAGAATGTCTTTCTAATTGTTTGTGTCTTCTTTAATTTCTTTTATCAATGATTTGTAGTTTTCAGTAAACAGTCTTTCACCTCCTTAGTTAAGTTTATTTCTAAGTTTTTTTTTTTTTTGATGCTATTGTAAATAGGATTGTTTTCCTGGTTTCCTTTCATACAGTACATTGTTAGTGTATACAAATGCAACTGATTTTTATATAATAATCTTGTATCCTACAAATTTGCTGAATTAATTTATTAGTTCTAACTTTTTTTTAAAATGTTGTCTTTAAGATTATCTATGTATAAGATTATATTATCTATAAACAGGGACAATTTTAATTCTTTCTTTCCAATTTGGATGCCTTTTATATCTTTTGCTTACCTAATTGCTGTAGTTAGGACTTCCAATACTGGGTTGAATAGAAGGTGCAAGATGGACAACCTTGCCTTGTTCATGGTCTTAGAGGAAAAGCTTTCACCATGAACATGATAATAGCTGTGGGTTTTTTATATGTAACCTTTCTATATGTTGA